GAAATTGTCATTAACTATAGTTGTGAATTTTTTTGTATAATTTAAAAAATTGAATTCGGCCTGAAACTGTCTTTACCGTGCATTTAAGGGTTCAGAGATCAGTACCTTAGTGCCCTATGTACGCCAAGTGAGAGAGTACTGTCTGCATCACTGGCCAGCAGATAGTCGAGAATCCACTCATTGCCACATTCTCGACTAGGTCTAGCCCCGGTGACAGCCTTGCCAATCCAGACTTAGACGGCGATGTGACGGGCAGTCTATCGCTAGATATTATGTCCCAGTTATGGACTGCTTGCAGTTGGCAGCCGGGACAGATGTGTGGTTTTTGTAAAATCACCCGTGCTGATGGGGTGGAGTGATTTCGGGAGATACGGGGTAGAGTTGGGCAGCAAGGAGTTTGGGGATGAGGGATGGGGAAGGGGAGGGGGTGAGGGATTAGGAGGGTTGCGGGTAAGAGATGAGGAGGGTTGGAGATGAGGGATGCGGAGGGATGGGATGGGAAAAGTGGGGGTAGAGGGTGCGGAGGTTGGGGACAAGGGTGGGGAGGTCGGGGCAGAGAATGCGGAGGTTGGGGAAAGGGGTGGGGAGGTCAGGGGTGGAAGATGGGGGTTGCGGCGGGGACGGAACCGTGCATAGGTCGGCGGTTGAACATGGAGGGGTCAAGGGCGGGAGCGCATGCGGAGATCTGGGCCAGCGGAAACCCACAAGCAGCCAAGTTCGAACAGCGCGGCAAAGACAGCTGGCTGCTCGGCGGCCCGTTAATTTCTGTCGCGCAGTGGAATGTTTAGCAAATTGGCCCAGTGCCTATCCGAGCAAGGGGTGAGGGGCAGATTGCGATGGCCGGGGAGAGGTAGATTAGGGGAGTGGAGATTGAGGAGGGGAGAGGGGGTATGATTCGAGTTCAAGAAATGCTTTTAGTTTTGGGGCAATAATGGGTGGGGAAGGGAGGGGTGACTGATTGTTTTCAGTGTGATTCTTGATGCTGAAGGGCGAAATTAGCAGTGTTGAACGTGAATTCTAGAAATCTGCCTTGCCTCGGCATTTACTGGAACTCAGCTCGGTTCGACCATATTACGAAGCGATCTCGTTTCTTTGCTAGTAAGACAGCAGTACGGCTATCGCGGGCAGCGTCGCTTCTCCAGGTGCTTCGGGTTAGAGTTCGAATTTGTTACTTCGAGTTCGTTTCTTCATTTCCTTGATTTAATAGCGAAAAAACTGTGTTTCAGAAGTAGACAACGTTACTGGATCAGGCAGGATACCCCGTGTTAGTGTCCTGGATGTTAGCGGCACAAGGAAGTCTGGCCACTCAGCAGTTCCAAACTTTGATCACACATCTGGAACAGTGTAAGCACTTTGTCATTATTGTTTGAACGCTTATTCTCGCTAGGTAGCAGACTACGGGACTCTTATCCACACATTGGCGCCAACGGCCGATCCAGGAGGGAGGAGGCGATAGGCCTTTTGCCCCCAGCGGCACAGGTAGCAATG